GTTGTCTGTCCCCCAGGGAGGAGGTCACATGTAGTTCCTTGCAATCGGTTCCCTCTTTCCAACCCACCCTCCCTCTACCCTCCCAGTATCACCACTCACACCACTGGTCCTGTAGGGCTCATCCACCCTGGATCCCCTATATTTCCAGTTCCTAGCTGTACCAGTGTGCATCCTCTGGTCTAGCCAGACTTGCAAGGTAGAATTCGAGTCATGATAGTGTGGAGTCCCTTATTTCTATATTCCTAGTGGAAGCACACTATTTTTCATTGTCTTAGGCATGCAAAAACTGGATAAGGAATAGAGAAGTCACAAAAAAAGTCAATGCTCTTGAATGATGTTGTTGGTGGAGAATACTGACTATACCATGGGTTGCCAAAAGAATGACCACATGTGTTTTGGAAGAAATACACCCAGACTCCTCCTTAAAAGTGAGGCCGCAGAGATTTGGTTTCCTGTACTTTGGACCTGTTATCAGTCAGGAAGGACCAGTCCCTGGGGAAGGACATCGTGATTGGTGGAGGGCCAGCAATCTTTTGGATTCATAATCGGTGCTCATGGCAACAGCAGTCAAGAGCTTAAATCTGCTGCAGGAGACCTCTTTAGAGTGTTGAAAAGCCAGGATGTTACTGAGGAACTAAGGTGCGCCTGAGCTGAGCCGTGGCATTTTCCATGACCGCACGTGCGTAGGAAAGTTGGACACTGAGTAAGGAAGACTGAAGAACGGATGCCTCTGAATTGTGGAGCTGGGAAAGAATACTGCAAGTACCATGGACTGCCACAAGGGCAAACAAATCTGTCTTGAGCGCTCCTTACAGTCCAGGACGGCAAGCCTGGTCTCCCGTACTTCGGACATGCTGTCAGGAGAGACCCACGCCTAGAGGAGGGCGTCCGTCGTCGTGCTGGGTCAAGTGGAGGGGCAGCGAACAAGGGGAAAGCCCTGGGCGACGCGGATTGACAGGGACTGCAACAATGGGCTCAGACACGAGCGCTCTGATGAGGATGGCGCAGGGCCGTGTGTCCTTCTGGGGCTCGTGGGAGTGCTGCGCTGGGCCCTGACTGGGCAGCCGCACAGCGATAGCGCTCTTTCAGAGGCTGGGTAGGGCTCCTGCTGCTGCTCTTCCTCATACCGTGGGTGATGGCTTTCTTTCTCAGCTGCCCAGCATCGTGCTCTGTGGGGATGGAATGCTGAGGCTCATGAAAGTCACCAGGGAGGACAGAGCCATCAGCCCTTCCCGGTCCACTCTTTGATACCTCTTGTAGACACACGGAAGGGCTACGTGACGCCAGGGGATTTGTTATTCAAAGCAACCAGGTACAGCTGGAAGATCCAGGAGATCCCAGATGGGCTGCAGTCTTTCTCAGATTTAACGTTTTTATTTCAAACTTTTTATTGTGAATTAGGTGGGGGTTTACATTTCAGAGCATCACTTTTGCATTCAATAACTTAAATTACTTATCAAACCTCCCAATAGTTTGGTGTGCCCACCCACCCCCTCCCTCCCTTGATTTCTCTTTTCCTTCTCGTCCAATAACCACCTTCCCTCCACTGGTTAGCACCTGCCCCTGCAATATAATCAAAAGTTTGCTTCTTTTGCTGTGGAAACCTCTATATTTGTTTTTCCTTCATAGTGGTGGCAGTTTGGGGACTTCATTGTTCCCACAGCTTCAGCTTCCAAGATGCTCCCCAATAAAATGGTTTGAGTTCCTCCACCCCTCAAAACAAACAGAAAAACCCAGACATATTCTAAAATCATATTTACAAAACAAAATTAGTGGAGCAACTAGTCTTTATTACCAAAGAGTTCTTGACTGGACTTACAAAAGCAGTCATCACAAGGGCCCTACTATTACTCTGGGCTTTTGACTTGGTGGATAAGAGACAATGTAGACTTCACCTTGTCAGTTGATGTCAGGTCAGTCTTTAGTGTATTAAGAGGATGTGTGCCGTGAGTTTTCCCCGCTACTTGATTGCTATTCTATTAAAGCACATCACTTTCGGTTTAAATGTCAAGGTTAAAAGAAAAAAAAGAACAAACCATTGCCACTGAGTCAATTTGGACTCACAGTGACTCTATATAGGGTTTCCCAGACTGTAAATCTTTACCGGAGTAGACAGCCTATCATCTTTCCTCCTCAGGATGGCTGGTGGATTTGAACTGCCAACCTTGCAGTTAGCAGTCCAATACTTATTCTGTGGCATTACCAGGGCTCTTCAACACTAGAGTAGGCTGCTAAAATAAAATTCTGAATCTTGGCGGTGTAGTATACTAAAATTTCTTGCTTATGTCACAGTTCAATAATGTGGGTACCCATGCCACGACCCAGCTTCTGTTTAATAGGTCTGCCATTTTCTCTGGCCCTGGAGTCTTCAAACGGGTCCTCTAATTTTTGCAGACAATGAGACTAAAGAAAGTATGAAGCACTACTGGGCGAGAGAGAGAAGAGTGAGTGAGTTTTAGGGAAGCAAACCCACTTGGTTCGGACTGGAGGTAAGAGAGTGGCTTAGTTCCGTAAAATCAGGAGGCATTTTGTCGCAGCCAGAAGTTTGGAAATGTGCTTTATTTTCAAACTCAAGTATGTGACACTCTACGGTTCAACATGAGCACACCTGTGAGAGGCTTAACAGCATCGGGAAGTGACGGTCAGGGAGAACACAAATCCGACATCTCCCTTTCCCGATTTCTGCCAGCCTAGACATGGGGGCGATGCCTATGGGCTTGTGGCAGGCAGCAGGTGACCTCGATGGCACAAGCGGATCACTCTGCGACTGAGGGTAGGGCCCCAGACGTCTCGGGCAGAGCGGCCACGCCAGACTGCAGAGGCGTTTGAAGGGACCATTTTCGTGCAGACCCATGTCACGGCGGGAACCCTCGGGCCCGCGGCCCTCCATTTCAGTGCTGCGCTGGCAGCAGCTCAGAGGTGTCAGACTGATCTTCGTTTTCTGGAAACTTCCCTCAACAAACACCCTTCCTGCGGTGATCCCCTAATGGATGTGGTGACTGGTAGGCCGCTCAGCCTCCCTCCTCACACACACTTCCAGGCCTGGGGCGCAGCGGGAGACCAGGAGCTCGCTGCACCCCCCTTGGGTCCTCATCTCCAGGCGGTCGTGGGCCAGCTCCGTCGGATCCTTCTTCGTGGGATGTTGAGGTAGGACATTGATCCCCGAGGGTCCTGCTACAGGCCACTCACTCTGGATCTCCACCAACACATTCTGTCCTTGGTCCAGAGGGCCTCACGTATGTAAAACTTCTGTGGCCTCAGTCCCACTGGACAGAGTAAACTATGTGTCCCCGCCCCCAACGTCCCTCTGTCCTGCTAGGTGCATCCTTGGGTAAACCCTGCTTGGGCTTCTCGCTCGGTGGGTTTCTAGCCACTGCAAAGGATGGTCCCCGTACACTGACCTGTTGTTTTAAGGTGGGCCTGCTCTCGGTGAGTCTTTCAGAAGGTAGGGATTGCATCCAGCCCGAGCTTAGAAATGGTGTTGCCAGTCTGGTCTTCCTCCTGCCCTCTCACAGAGGACATGGAGAAACAGTACAAGATGCTGAGCTTCATAAATCTATTGCTTCCCTTGTTGAGATGGGGGGGCAGGCTCAGGACGCATGCACAAGGTTAGCCGTCCTTGGCGTGCCCTCCACTGCCTTGAATGCCCTCTTGCTCTTTGGACTAACATTGCATGTGACCCTCCCAAGCATCAGCCCCCATGCTGAATTGACCCAGAGATGGCTAAGACATGGTGCCTTTCTGTGAAGGAAAGTTCGGGAAGACAGCACGCAGTTACTGTGATAGCTCTAGCCAGGGTCAGTCAGGAAAGTCTTTACACTGTGCTGAGAGAGGCCATCAGGGACAGCATGAGGATGCTTTTTGCCGTTGGTCCTGACGATTGGGCAGGACGTGGTCAGAAGAGGCTGGCGGGAGACAAGCCAGTGGAGAGGAGGAACAGAGTGGTGGGGACGCAGTAGGTGAGGAACCAGAACGGGTTTGGAGAAAAGGCCATTTGGGGAAGGAGTGCCACTCACAGGGCTATAAAACATGAGGCCGGGGGCATGTTCAGAGCAGTTTGGAAACCAGGTGAAGAAATGGAATCTTATTCTTTAGGAGCGTGTCCCTGAAGGATGAGAAGCAGGGACGACATTGAGCGTTTTGCTCTAGAAAGGGCAGCGAAGGCTCTGCTAGCAGTGAGCCGAAAGACTCCAAGGCTGGAACAGGAGGGGTCCAGCTAGGAGACCATTAGAAGAGGCCATTCAGAGCTCGGCCCCTGGAGGCAGCCTTCTTGGCCATGAGTTCCCGCCGAGTGCCCTTGACAATGGACTTGTCTGGGTTGTGCCTACATTTGTAGCCTGAAAACGGGAGAGTCCAACTCACCTTATATTTCTGCTGTTGTGTTCCTTCTTTTCCTGAGAAGTAAATCAATTAACACCTCTAGAACTCTTGGGACGATGCGTGGTTCGTAGAAAATTCTACAAAGAGGCATCAAGAAGTTTGTGGGAAAATGCGGTTCTCTTTCTCTTCCCTGCAAATTTCTGAAGCCCTCTTGCCTGTGAGCATTAACACAAAGAAAAGCAAACTAGCCACTAGACTCACTCAGAATGGATGTACGGATGGATTGTGATAAGAATTGTACGAGCCCCCGATAAAATTAAAAAAAAAAACTCACTCGAAAATCACTACAACCCAAAAAATCTGATGTGAGCTGAACAAAGGCAGTGGGTGTAAAGGGGGAAAGAGAAGACAGATTGGAGATGGGATATTCTCCCTCCATTTGATGCTAAACGGTTGAGCACTCTCTGAAACACATACTTGAGTTGGAAACCCTGTTTGAAGTGACGCACTGACGTGAGAATGCACACTTGCGCGTGAGCACACCGAGTCAGACTGATGCTGAAGATACACCACTTCTCCCCCTTCAGCGGAGAGGAGGGCTAACTGTTCGCAAAGGGAGAGAACAGATAAGGAGTTGATATTTGCATCTGAGAGACCAGCGAGTGCATCTTCGAGCTATGAATGAAGTTTCCGTGTCTTTCAAACATCGTCAATCCACGTGGAGAGCTCATTGAATACAGGTGCCTGGTGACGGCCCCATACCAAGCGGCAGCCTGTGGGTTGGCTTGACAGGCCTTTTGTTGTCCACGGCACGTTTGGAGGGCGGTTGGCTTTGTGCACATGCATACTGCGTATGTACATGGATGGATATATATTAATTCACATCTTCCCACTTAATTTTAAACACTGAGCGAAATCCAGCTTATGTATTGTTTTTCTGAGAAACGTCCCTACTTCTTTAAAACGAAACTCCAATTCCAAAAGGGAGAGAGGGAGGCTGAAGGATAGTCGGTAAGAACGAGATGGGGAATGGGAAGGCAGCCCCATTGCAACTCCAAATTCCAGGTGTGATTTTAGGGTCGATGCGGGCCTGCTAAGCACAGTTCTTCCTGATCACCCCTTGTCGAGGAGAGAGAGAGGGAGCTTTTATTCTGCACCTCCGTGAAGGTGTTTGCATTCTCCCGCCAACCGAGCTGAGGGCCAGAGGCCTCCCTTCCACGGAGCTCCTTGGTGAAGGTGACAGCTTCGTGTACTGGACGCCTCCCCAGGGCAGCTTCGGGGCTCCTCCAAGAACATCAGTGACTGTGTGTGACTATCTCCCGCAGAGGAAATGCTCCCCCTTCATTCCCTGTGGCCTGACCCTCTATTTGGGGACATGCTGGGTCACCGGGGGCATTGGAGCAGGGCACTAGCCAGGCATCAAACTTCCTACTGCTCTGTGGGCTGCTCGTGCTGGAGTCCTGAGTTCCACCAGGAGTCCCTGTGGGCTGCTGAGCAAGTGGCTCTTCCGAGGGGGCCATCAGCTTGCTCCACGCAGGAGGTGTAGGAATGATAGAGGCCCAGCACGACAGTCAAGACCAGCATGGCAGCAGCCACCATCCAAATTACTTGCCAGTGCTGGCACAGTTTGGGATACATGACTTGTAAGAAATGAAACAATTCTTCAAGTTTGCTGTCAAATGAAAAAAAAAAAAGGTGAAGAGTTAAGTATATGGGGTACATGGATGGCGAGACCCAGTCTACCATGCTTCTGTCCAGGGTTCTCACACTCAGCTGCACAAAGACCAGCTTGGCAGACAGTAGTCAAAATATCCCAGGCTTCTGGAATAAGGATCTCTAAAGGCATGAGCTAGAAATCTAGAATTTGAAAAATCCCCCCGGGTGTTCCCGAGGCCACCAGGCCATAGTCTTGATGTTGGGAACTACTGATATAGGAGCTTCTTTGGATGTTTAGTCATTCATTCATCCGTTCACACACACCCTCATCTCCCTATGGGATGATCATTGATCTCTGTAAGAGATGATCAGCGATCTCAGCACTCTCCCAAGTTCTGCACCCCCTCCAGGACACCGGGTTGGCTGACCCATGTTCTCGGGCGTCCAGCCAGGCCAGCACCTTTACTTTCTTTGCTTGGCTGAATTGATGCTCAGCTCCAAGGTCCAATCAGATCCCGCCCTCAGCATTGTGTTTGTTTGTTTTCACAAATAGCACTTACCGTCTTCATTTGTTTGCCAACTACTCCCTTCCCCTGGGAAGTATTGTTGCAAATGTCCTGTTTTGTTTTTAATTGAAACATGAACTGAATGCATAGCTTGGGCTCTTAGCTTCATATCCAGAGTGACAGGGATGCACGGAAAGGCTGTGTTATACTCTTAGAGAAAGCATGATGCCCAGGGATAAATGGCGAGGGGTTTGACCCATTTCAAGAGTTCTCTTCAAACCACCCTCAGGACAACCACATGGGTGGAAACCTCTAGTAAACTACAGGTGGTGTGTTCTCAACCCAATCAATCGTCACTCCCTCTCCCCCACTGTTTCCTTGCACTCTCCTCCCTTTCTCCTCCCTCCTGTTTCTCTCTCTTCCTCCATCTTTTGCCTCATCCCTTCCCCCTTTTCTCTTACTCCTTCCCAAGTGCCTTTCAGGTTTCTCTCTCTCTTTGTGGTTCAATGAAAAAGACATTTGGCCGGATAGCCCATTTAAGGAAGCTAGCCTTTTAGAGCTTTCTGGAGGGGAAGGAATCTATCCTTTCTAGAGCTTTCTATCCTTTTTAGAGCCCTAGAAACCTTCATGAAGCTAGAATTTACCCCTGTTTTTAAGCCCGGAACTTTCAAAAAGAGAAAAACTAGCCTATGGGAGATTACCGAGTGGCGGAAAGTAGCAGACGGGCGTTTTGAAGACCCCGAGGCTCACATAGCTAGGGCAATGAGGGCCATGTGCCGAGAAGTAGAGAGCAGTCATCCAGAGTTGGGAAATACATGCATTACGACAGACCCCAAAGACTCCACAAATCACTTCAAAGACAAGGGGCTAGACGCTCAGCAGTGCCTGCCTCGGCTGTGAGGACCACGGGAAATGGCTTGGCTTCTTTCAGTGTGGGTACCCTCTGGGGATCCCTTCAGGAACAACCCAACAAAACAGTGAGCAAACGGGCCAGTGTGAAGACCACTGGTTATTTCCCAGCTGTCAGGAAGGAGGGGTTTGCAGAGGAGCTCCTTTTCTTTCACCTTGATTTTGAGTCTTTAGTTTTTAATTAAAGATAATTGGATGCTATAACAAAATCTTCTGGGAGGGGCAGGGGTGGGGAGGGTTGTACTTTCATAAATAAAACAAAATGCTAGGACTTGAGACTGCCAAGGAGAGGTCAAAAATGGGGTTTGTGCCCCTTAGCCGATCGTCGATGGTTTGTCTAGAAAAGAATTAGATTAGGAATACTATTCCTTTGGAAACAGATCTTGGGGTGCAATGAGTCCCATTCACTCCCCCAGAAGATGGCATAGGGTTACTCCACTCTCAATGGGACCAAGCCAGGGGGGCCTCAGAGAAACTGCTTGAAGAGGTGCCTCTGCTGCAGTTTGTGGGACACCAACACCCGGTGTGTGACTCATTCGTGAGGAACCTGAAGGCAAAAGCCTCACCTGAGTGCTTTATGTCACCAGACCAGGAGGCCGTGATTGGCCCTGGTGGCACTATGGGTTAGCTACTGGGCAGCCCAGACCCACCAGTTGCTCCACAGGAGACAGCTGCTGCCACGGTTGACTCACATGAAGATTTGCAGTCTCAGGAACCCAATACGGGGTCGCTGTGAATTGGGCTTGACTCAGTAGCAGTGGGTTGGGGTGTGGTCAAGTTGAAGGTAAACTGGCATTGCCAGCCTGGGAGAGGTATCTAGAACCTGCAGAGACCTCAGCAGGACAGCCAAATATACCAGACTTCAAGCTGCCCAAGGACCAAGAGGAATTTTAAGTGGCAAGCCTAGAACAGAGGCATTCAGCCTCATACATTGATCTGCATTCACGATGAAAATGTGTGTCTGTGTGGGGAGTGGGAGGAGTGGGGCTCGCTGAAGGATCTAGAAACCGCTGCACTAGAGGATGCCTGCTTTAGACTGCTGATACCTCCAGGAACCCGCTGACAGTAATATCAGTCAAGCAAGGCCTTCCTTATCCCTTAATCTCCATTCCTCTTCTCTGCATTGGCCCTGGAGAGGTCAGATACTGCAATAGCAGCGCAGGCACGGCGGATAAGCAGCCAATCCTGTGCTCTGTTCCCCCTGCTGGCTTCCTTCCGGGAGGGGACCAGAGTTTGGGGAGAGAAGCTTGTGCTTTATAAACAGTTTTTGCTTTTGATTATTTCAGGAGGCTGCCCACTTTAATGACTGAAATGAAAGCTATTTGGGGAGCTTAAAATGACCAGAGGATTTCTGTTTCCTGAGTCTTTGGAAAAGGGAAAGGTCCTGTTTAACGATCGTCTGAACTGTAGAGAGACGATTTCAGAGATAAGACAAAAGCTGTCCGTAGCACTTCATCAGCGGCACTTGCTCGCATGTGTACGTACATGTCAGGAGACCGTGTTCTCCATGGTAAGATTTGTCTTTGATTCTTCCAGAGTGCATTTTAACTGGTCTTCCAGAGAATAATATTTATAATAGATCCGTGCAGAGGAGGAGAGAGACAAACAAAGGGCCTTCAGTTTTGGGTGCTGAATCCCAATGTTTTGTTTTAAAATACCCCAAATAGGACATGGGCTTCTGATAGTTCCAGACCTTGTGCATTAACGAGGCGCCAACATCTCGTGAGGGCACTGTGTTTGAGTGGAGATGTTTACAGGCAGCTGGGTGCTCGGGGACGCAGGAGTGGAGGAAAACCGCCTGGCAGGGGCAATGATCACTCCTGGGGCCAGTCTGACTTGGGTCACAAATGAGGAAGGCCCTCTAACAGTGAGTGGGACTTGTATATGACAGTGGTTATCATAGGCTGGAGGTGAAGCCATGCCCCCATGCTGAAGTATGAGAACTCTGCTGAGGGTTGGGCACGCGTCTGGGTCCCATCATCCCAGGTACAGTCATGTTCCCTGAGGAAAAAGCAGATCCCCAAGGGAGCAAGGTTGGGAGAATGAGGACCCTCAGGGGTCCTGGCTAGGAGGACCCTGGCAGGTGATGGTGCTAAGGATGTCCCCTGCCACCCACCATTGACCAGGAGCTGAGCAGGGAAGCCCCTCAGCAAACCCTCAGCTTTCCTTAGGGTTTCACAAGATGGCAACAAGCCACCAATGACGTGAGATCCGACTCATGAGATGAGGATCACATGCGGTGCCAACCAGACTGTTTATATCCCACGTCCTGGCTCTGCTTATTTCGCTCTTGTTCTTTCTCAGTGTTTGGATGTGTTAGAACTTGAGCCTGGCGTAGCCGTGTTTGGGGACTCACAGGAAGGGTTTTGGTCCACATGGAGCTTGACTGCATTAAATGGGGGAGGAGGGCAGCATGGAGGGCTAAAAAGTAAGAGCAGGAGACACCACCCCACCCATGTAGGGGGTGAGAGCCAGGAGAGCAGGACACAGCCAATCAGAGTAGTCATTGTGTTTAAACACAGTGGTCTGGCCACTGGGAGAGGTGGCTGTATCTTAGCACAGTTTTATTTGCAACAGCGAAGGATTTTCCCTTCTCTCCAACGCTGCTCGTCCCTTGAACCGGAGGGCTGATCTGTGCAGGCTAAGGCCTCTCATCATGGTGGACCTTCGGCCATCTGGGCTCTATTGGTGGCTGGCTCCTCTGTGCTTGGAAGCATATCCATCCCCCTTCTAATCTTTACTAAGGATTTTCGCTGTGCACATGGGATTTCCACAGTTTGCCAGCAACGAAGTACAGAACCTCAGGCCAGCAGTGGACTAGATATTAAGCATTTTGGTTAGAGCGCAAAATAGTCTGGAGTGTTTGAGAACAAAGATTTTGGTGAAATGTTTAAAGGTTGCTATTAAAAAAAAGAACCAAAATTCAAGACTTATGGTTTGAGTGAAGTAAAGGCGATAATAGGACCATATGTATGAATTTGGGGTTGTTCTGAAAATCCAGGGCACTGTGGTGTTCACTATAGCCATCAGGAAAAGTGCACCGGTTTACTTTGTGCCTAAACATGTACGTACTTCTGTGGTGTCGTCCTGCCCTGGTGGGCCCGAGACCTCATTCCCATAAAACTTCACTGCATACCGAGTGATCACTGCATACAGTGCTTTGCATCTAAAGGCCAGGCAACACCACAAGTGGGACAAGATGCAGATCTACTGTCTCTTTATCTCCACATCCTAGTTTCCATCTGATTAGGAGACAAGCTAGAGATGCATTTAGGAGATGAGATAGATAGAAATAATGAAGGAACCAGTGAGTGCCTCTCCTCCTCATCCCTCAGCTCTTGAGAAGGTCCCTGGTGTGGCTAAGGATTTCCACTCTCTGAGATCTCTTGTACCCTCTTCCTCCATACAAAAGGTCCTCTTGGTCTCTGTTGGCTTCTCCCTTGGGCCCCAGACCCAGACCCTGGCCTGGGGCTTCAAGGACTTTTGTGCAGTTAAATGCATCGTGACTGACTTCAGTAGTGGCAGCCCTTGCCTGCCCAACAAAGGCTCCAGACACACGCCTCCCACCTGCTTTTCGGGTCCTTGGTCTCCCCATCAGTTTCTTCCACCTCTTCGGCTTCCTCAGGACTCTCCCTCTTCTGTTCCTCCTCCTCTTCCTTCAGCTCCTGGAGTTCTTTCGTCTTCTTTAGACCTTCCTGGAATCTGGGCGACCAAAGGGAACGGGTGTTGGGAAAGGGCAGGACCACAGCATCCTTTCCTGAGTTCCTACGGGAGGGCGCTCGATCATCCCCCGCAATGGCGCACTTCCTGTGGTTCCACACAACAGGAAAAAGCTGGGAAACACCACTGACTCCCAAGTGGCTCATGTCAATACAATTTCTCCTCGCTCCTCAGCCATCCTTCCTGTTTACGGGAAAGGGTGACAGTGACAAAAGGGACAGGAAAAAATGTGGGTGCAGGGTCACCTGACTGGGTTCTTATCCAAGAGAGCATTCAGCGGGGTATAAGATTATATTTGCCGTCGGTGTGACTTTGGAGCTTCGGTTTCGGATCTACTGAATGGAGCGACTGTGTTGGAAGATGCCAAAGAAGTGCCTGGCACCTGGCAGAGCCGAGAGAGGGTGAACCCCGGTCACAGACTGGTTGGGAAGTTTCACAAATGTGCCAGGAACACAAGCTGGCCCAGAAAGGGTGACACCCATCTCCTAGGCTTATGGGGAAGGTTTTGCAGATGTGCCAGCCGCACAGCTTGGTCTCGGGAGGGTGCCCAGTACATGTCTGCGTCGTCAGAGAGCACATGAGTCTTTCGGAGAGAAACCCTCCGGTTTCCCACTCCCAGGATTAATCTTATTCTGAGTGGCCTCTGCAGGCCACACAGTTGGCAGGGGCAGGGGCATCCCTGGGGGTATGACAGACTGTCACACAGAAGTCCGAGGAGCCCATGCTGCCGGGAAGCCACCTTTCCCGCATGAGCCACCGGGAAGGGAAGGGAGAGGGAAACTCAGAGGCTTGGCCTGCTCAGAGGCAATTCCCTGCCTTCAGGCCTGGCCCCTGCTCAGTGGGGAAGCCCTAGTCACCCCCTGTAGGAACCCACCCAGGACCCTCCATCTCCAGACCATTCTCTAATGGCTTTGTGCCCCCAAAGTGGGTAGTCTAATTATTGTCTACCCGCGCCCTGCCCCTCTACTTCCTCCTACCCTTCCTGGGGAACGGCCTCCCTCTTTCCCTTGCTGGGGTCACTGGCTGCTTCCTTACAGTCTCTAAGAAACAAAACATTCTCATGGGAGGTGTCTTCTGTGACCTGCCAGGTGACCACGGGCGGCCAAGTCTGACTCACCCCTTGTTGTAAGCTTCTTCCTCTATCCTGGCCTTTGTCTCCTGACTAATCTCCTCCAGGCAGCCGGGGGTCGGGCTGGGGGCGGTGGTGTCAAAATCCGGGTCTCCGTTTGTCTTTCCACTGGGAAGAAGAGGAAAGCACAGGACCGCATCTTAGGGAAAGGTGGAGCCTCTGAGAACAAGCCATCTCTTTGGCACGGTTACTGATCGAGCACAAGGAAACTCAGTCCTTTCAGTGTTACCCTATTTCTCACGATCCTTCTCCCCTGCGAGAAGATGTTATCAAGGCCCACGAGCACTGCCTGGGCCCCCAAATGCCGACAGTTCACCACTGTGTTTCCTTTTCTAATGCCCCCAGCTCACTGCTCTTCCCGGTCCCAGCGATGCCGGGAGGCCATGGACAAGCTACAGGGCGACACAGCTCTACGATGAGAAAGATGGAGATAAATCAAAATACTCGGTGTTATTCCATGCCTGTAGTACATCTTCTACTTGTTTAATGACTCCCATTCAGCATTTCATGATTCCATTCGGCAGCGACTAAATCACAGGCACAATGTCATGTACAAGTGACACATGAAAAAAGAAGGTACATGCTCCCTGCCAATACGACCTCAGCGGGGAGATGGCCACGCAGAAGGAAAGGCACACACCTTGTTCCAAAGGGCGCTGTCTCATGAAAGGGAGAAACGGCGCTCCATGATGGAACGTAACCGGGGAGCATGTGCTTGGATGGAGTGGTGAGGCCAGGCCTCCCTGAGGGGGAAGCTGAAGCACTGGTCTGAAGATGGGCAGGCGGCCAGCTGCGCGGCAGCAAGGGGAGACGGTCCCAGGGAGAGGGCCTGGGGTGTGTGCAGCTCTGAGACACGAGAGACACCGGGATGTGTGAGGAACGGAAAATGGACAGGATGGAATGAAATTTCGGACAAGATAACTTGGTGGTGCCTGTGGAAGAAGCCCAAACGCAATCTCGAATTCGGCAGCTGGATGTACCAAAGTGAGAGAAGAGTGCTTGGCTGGAGGTCGTCATCTGGTGCTATCAGAATGTAGATGATATTTTAAGTTAGGGTATCGGCTAAGATCACCCTGGGAAACAGTACGAAGAAGAGGATCAGGGACCAATCTGTGGGGATCTTGGCACTTAGATCAGACAAAGATGAAGGAGTCTACAGAGGAGACCGAGAAGTAGCAACTAGAGAGGTAGGCGGAAAACCAGGTGTGTGTGGAGACGTGGGAGCCACAAAGATGCTGTGCCAAGAAGGGAGGAGTCAACCACGTCATCTACTTCTGAGAGCCTGGGCCAGCTGAGGGGGGAAGTCACTGCTTGATTTGGGAATGGAGAGGTTAAGAGGAGCTTTAAGGAAAGAGTGGGAGCCAAGGACAAAGAGGAGTGGATTTAGTAAAGAATGGGAAAGGCAGGAGAGAAAGGCCTGGGCACCGCGACTTAACTGAGGACAGAGAAGTAGAGTGGGAGAAATAAAGAAATGCTGAGAAAGCAGGGCCAAGGGTTGAAAGCACCTTTGAATGTGCTTGATGGGGTGCGGTAGAGGGGGTGGGGGAAAGTAAACGACCACGGAACGAAGCCCTTGGAAAGAGGAACAGGAAGAGACTTCAGAAAGGTCCTAACAAAGAGAAAGATGAAGGCTTGAGGATTTGGCAAAGTAAGACGAGAGGGCGCCCATCTGTTGGCTTGAGAATCCTCCATAAAGTGAGAGGTAAGGCCACCTGACAAGGGAGAGACGCAGAGTGGCCTAGGAAAGGTCTGAGGATGGAGGAGGAGGAGGAGGAGGAGCAGCCAGAGAGCCGTGCGGGAGGATGGGAAAGCACACAGACCGAGAGTCACAGGCAGCTTGTTGGACGGAGACTGCTGTCAGGGTGGGGTTGTAGGCTTGAACTCAGTGTCTTGATGGCCTGCCTTCCCTGTCAGTTCCCCAGCCCTTAGGTCCCGGAGCCCAGGGGGAGTAAGACTGCCATGGGACAGCCCTTACGCCAGGCACAGCCAGGGCCAGATCTGTGAGCCAGGACCCTGAGCCATCACAGCTGACACCCTCCCAGGCAGGGTTTACAAGTGAGACATCACTCGTCTCCACTCTTGGCACTAGTTTCCCAACTCGTGTTTTCCTTCAGACCTTGTGAAATGTACATTTCATCCGCTGGAAGCCAAAGCCCATTGTGAAGCGGAAAGATAACCCTGCAACACCAGCTCTTCACAGCACATTTCTCCTTTTGCAAACTGCGCGATCCACTCCCTTCCGTGTGACCTTTGCTTAATGTGTAGTTTCCTATTTGTCCAAACGATTGGAGCAGGAACAGAAAAACAAAGCTCCTGCCAAGGGCTGGGAAAGTAATTCTTTTATGGCATGTATTTATATCTAAGAAATGAAGTATTGATACTATACCTTGATGTTATCTACAGCTGCCAGATCTAGGGGTTACTCAGTGTCAGGCAGGCAGTTGTGAGGAAAGAGGCCGCCTGCAGCAAATCCTGGGCTTCAGATCTCCACCTCCAGCTCCCTGAGACGCTGACCCGCAGCGGGGGAGCAGGGGTAGGGATGGGTACCTGAGGGTGGTGCAGTACGAAGGAGGACTGGCTGATCCACTTGCGGGGATGTTGTGCTCAACAGACTGTATCTGACAACCCCAACACAAGGACCATTGTTGTTGTTCCTAGTCGTGTAGTAAAGTTCATAGTTGATAAATTATGAGATGGGTACATCTTCAGGGGAGAACTTGACATATATTACGGCACCATTTCAGAGTCCATGGGAACCTCAATGCGGACTCATTTTAAGAATGACGAGGCACACATAAAAGCTGCTCTGTGGGAGAAAGATGTAGCTTGCTTCTGTCAAGGTGGATGTATAACTCCCCTTGAGGGGGGCAAATAACACAGTGGTGGGTGCAGGGGTACATTGGATGGGGCCAGATATGAAATTTTATATATACATAATTTATTATATATATATAATTTATTATATATATTAATTTATTAAGGGTTCACCAGGGTGGTAGGGTGGGAAGGGAGGGAATAAAGAGGAGCTGATATCAAAGGACTCAAGTGGAAAGAAAATGTTTTGAAAGCGATGATGGTAGCACCTGTACAAGTTGGCTAGATATAATTGATTTGTACGTTCTTATATCTGTGAGAGCCACCAATAAAATGATTAATAAATAAAAGATTGAAACCCTCAAAGGACGGAAATCCTAAGGAGCACTTCCACTCTGCGCTATGATTCGGAATGAACGCGTAGGCAGCAGGCTTGGTCGGGGTTTAAGTAGCTGCTCTGTCTGCCTCAAAGTACTCCTTTCCACTTTCGAACCTTCAAGAGGCAGAAAAATAACACCTCCTCCCCTGTGGCACCTTCTCCGATGTTCCCTCCCCTCCAGGCTCTCTGGTTAAAGTGCTCTTTCCTTCCTTCTGCACCGCCCTGGGCCTCTGTTAGAGCATGCCTCTGAGCCCAGCCATTTAAGGTTTGTAGACATGCCCATCCCTCCACCAGATCATCAACACAGGAATGGAACTGGTTTTGCCACTCAGAATGGTGCTTGGCACTCACTAGGTGCCTTTACATGTTCATTGAGTTGCGCCGAATTCACTGCGATCCATCCAGGGCCGGCCTCTTACTCTGGTCAAATGTGCAGGGCTTCTCTGTGAAGGGTTACTTGCCGAGAGAGAGCCAGTGTTTGGGTGGACAGGAGACACTTCCTTCCAGGGCTGTGATCCCGGAGGATAGCACAGCCGTGCACGCCCTCGAGGCTTCTAGGCCAAACCCTCATGACTCCCTGGCATCGGCCCCAGGCCGAAATCCTCCAGGGACGAGGCATTAACACGGAGCTCACTGGTCTCTAATGTCCACCAGGTGAAAGCTGTTGGCCCGGTGCTCAGCTCACTCAGGATGGGAGGTGCTATTTCATAGAAGTGCGTGGTTTGACAGGCAAGTACTCGAGACGCACTTTCTCCCCACATGGTAAACAACCTTTGAACGTGCCCGTGGTGCTCTCCAGTGCACAGGTAGCTCGTACATTCTTGGGCGCCGCAGTATTTCTAAGCGACTTCTCAGGCTTGGCTCTTCATGCTCCTTTGGCGCCCCAGCCCAGAAGACCTGAGACAGGAGACCCTGCTCTCGCTGCTGTTCAGCCCCAGACTTCTGGAGCCACTGCAGGTTGATGGGGGATCATTCAGCTGTTGCTCAATCTGGAATATTATCCGTCAGGAGCAGACCTTTAAACCAAGGCAATGTGTAAAACCTTTAGGCAATTTGCACTGGCTGCTCCAAAGCCTTAGCAAAATTGTGACTTTAGATGTTCAAGTTTAAGTTTCTCTGCGAGGAAGCAGAATCATGTGGCCCCTGTAGTGAGACTAACCTTGGTGACCTCCCACCCCAGTGGACGTGCTGGCTGCTCCAGGTGGGGGCTTCCTACACCCTCTGTGCTCACAGCCCACTGCTGCCTCCACCCACACCCGGTCGCTCACTCGCCAGGTTCTTTTGGCTCTAAAAAGTTACATTCACCCACTCACATTCTCACATGCAGCCACTTCTCCGTAGATGTCTGGATGTCTTTCTGTTCTTTTAGTGTTGGGCATAGCAGCAAGAGGGCAGAAACATCAGCTCTGCTGATCGCCCAGCTTTGTCACTTTGGGCAAGTGACAATTTCCCTGCGCTTCAACGTCACCATTTTATAAAGTAAGGGTGTTAACAGTTTTCTTACTTCATGCTGATTAGACAGAGATCAGTTACTCGGCACCTGTAATAACACGGGCATGCGGTAGATCATAGAAGTTCTTCCTTGAGTGTATCCTTGAAGCCTGGAATGCTGCTCACCGGACGCTCCCCTGGGGTTCTTCTCCGGTGCCACTGAGACCGTTTCAAGCCATAGAGCCCCTATGGACAACCCTGGCTCTGCGCCATCCTCCTAACCGTGGCAACGGTTGAGCCCACTGCTATCGCCACCGTGTCAAGCTATCTCATTAAGGGTCTTCCATGGACACCCCCACCCCCACCCCACCCCCGAAACTCTTTCTCCAGAGACTGGTCCCTCTTGCTAACTCACCCAAAGTATCTGAGACAACGTTCTCACCATCTTCGCTTCTAAGGAACATTCTGGCTGTATTTCAAAGTAGATTTGTTTGTTCTTTTGGTAGCCTATGCTACAGCTACTATTCTTCACCCACAATCCAAAAGCATTGATCCTTCTCTGGTCCACTTTATTGCCCAGCTTTTGCATACATTTGAGGGGGCTGAAAATACCATGGCCGGAGGCAGGGACACTTCGGTCCTCAAAGTGACAGCTCTGTTTCTGTAACAAGTTAAAGTGGTCTTGGGTAGCAGATTTGCCTGATGTAATATGATGTTTGATTTCTTGACAGCTGCTTCCATGGGCCCTGAGGGTGGATACAAGTAAAATGAAATCTTTTCTCTGGTTATCATGAATGGAACATAATGGCCCAGTTGTGAGAATGTTTGTCTTCTTTGTGTGAAGGTGTCACTATACATCCTTCCTATTTCAGTTCCCCTGAGAAACCCTTGTGGAGACTACCCTACCCCCTCGGTACCCTGTAGTAAACTGGGGTTGTGATGTCATTGGGTGCCCGCAAGCTAATCTGACTCACAGCGACCCTGTGTAGGACAGAATGAAGCCCTGCCGAGTCCTCACAATGGCTCTTAGGTTGGGGCCCCCTGCTGCAGCCACTGTGTCAATCCATCTTGTCGAGGGTCTTCCCAAACGGTTGGAAACTCGTTTTGCTTGTTAGCCATGTTGTGCCTGGAGCCCCCTGTACTTCCTTGTGGTGTGAGTTCTCACAATGCATTCCAATAGGCTGTTTCCCTTCTTCCTTTTCCATTGCACCGTGAGCCCCTGGGGTACATCCCGGGTGCCTGACGCCTGGTGACTGACCATTACAATAGTAAAAGACAATAGAATTAAGCAGCTCTTCCTAGGTTTACAACTAGTCTCGAACTTTATTCTGTTTTCAACTCTAACACCAATTTTCAGTGTCATTCTAGACCGATATTTTCCTCTACGCCTACAAGTTTCTAGGCTCTTGGTATGAGAACAGCAGTTTGCTATGAAACGGTCTACACAAGCAAGGCTGAGGATTCTCTCCAGTCAAATTTGGTAATGTACTTATGCGCAAGTATTTGCTTGTGCTCTCTTGAGGGGGATGGAGTTCCTCTGTCCCTGTCAGGGATGATTCGCAAAGAGGCTGTGATTCTGCAGGAAGGTGCTGTGGGGTTGGGAGAGAGACGGATGCAGAGCATACTTAGAAGCAGAATCTTGAATGTAGTGAACAACGTAGAATTGTTCACTCCAGATTAGTAAGTAAGCACAAGTAAGCCCGTGCTTACCTTGCTTATCCAACACTGTGAACTAGTCACAGGCTATTGGCTCTTCTCATCGCCTTTCATGTGCTTAGCCAGTTCCCTTTGTGCTTAGTAACTGTGTGCTTTGGAAACATGAAATCATTTTAGCATCAAGTGAATACAACCATCTAGGAAGCAATGCCTATTAAATACATTATAATGCATCATTTCTCTTTAATAACATCTATAAACTAACTAGAATTAACTGCCTTTGCCTGTAGAACCAAAAATATGATTTTATTTCCACTCGAGGATTGAACCATGGCTAGCCTTTTGGAAAACTGTTAAGTTTCAGCATCATGTATTCTGATGGACCCACTCAACGCCTTTTTGAAGTTCAGAGGGGGGAGTTGTCATTAGTCCTACATCCTTCCTTTTCCCAAGATCCTCCCCACCCCAAACCCTTTTACAGCTTGGTAAGCTTAGTGGACTCCCAAGAGTTACGCCAGCCCACCCCGTGGCTGTATGTCATGGCGGTGTCCCTGTCCAGCCCACGGGAGGGAGGTGCACACACACTCCTCAGGTCTCTGCTTGCCTTGCCTGGGTCCTCACAGTGTCCCAATCTTTCCCAAACCTTGCAAAGGTGATTCTATCATTCGTCTTCACTTGCTGCCTCTTGGATTTGGGGCAATTGCGTTCTAACCTCATTGTGAGGTCTTCGTTTCTCCAACCAAGATGAGCCCAGGTTCTTGATAATGCTCACTGCCTTGGTTAGAAGTTTTGGTCCTAAGAGACCAGGTCCCATCTCATTCATGTCAGTCGGGCTGAGTGGGGACCCAGACCTTCCGCCTCTGCAGGCCTAGAGACGGGAATAGGGCCCTTGTTGGGGACTGTCCTGGAGAAGGGGTTGTCACATCTGAAGGCCAGGTTGGGAGGAGGTCAGCTCTGGTAGTGCACTGGTTAAGCACTCTGCCACTAACTAGAAGGTTGATGGTTCAAATCCACCAGCTGCTCCATGGGAAAAAAATGTGGCAGTCCGCTTCTATAAAGGTTTGCAATGAGTCAGAATTGATCTAATGCAACAGGTTTAATGGGTTCTCACATGAAAGGCTTCAATTGACCAATTTTGGGGAAATTCAGAGACTATGGACTAGATATCACGATGTCTGGGAACTTGTTCAGCGTCTATAACTTTGGTTGCTTTCAGATGGTTGCTGATTCGTCACCCTTTACAATTGTAGCAGAGTGATCAGGAAATGAAACCAGCACAGTTACCCTGCACAAGATGAAGGATCTGAAAGCTTATGGGAGATAGGAAAGGAATTGCTGGGGAAACTTTAGGACTAAGATAAGTGAGTCACTGCATGAAGGGTTGGTAGCTGCATGGACTGAGAGTTTGGAGATTCAGATTAAGTGGAGGGTGGGGCTGGTGGGAACTTGAAAGGCCATTCATTCACACTAAAAAAAAAAAGGCCCATGATAAACATTCCTTGCCAAGTCAAAGGGAACTATTCTAACAACAATAGAAAAGGAAAGACTAAGAACTGTCTCAAGGCAAGTTCAAAGACGAGAGGTGTTTTCTCAAGTGAGGAAAGACACAAGAAGGAAGTTCTGAGAGGTGGCAGCTGTGACACAGATGTTTTTCAGCAAGAAAACGATAGAACTGGAAAGCAAGTTCTGAGTGTGTGGAAATAGGAACGCGTTCTCTGGCTGCGGATGAAAAGACCTGCAAATTGTCTGGATGCCTAAGGAAGTCCCGAGAAGCAGACACCGCTGGTTTCCGATCCAGTTCTCACCACCTTGCTCCTGAGTTCTTAACCGCAAGGATTTTGCTCTGATATGTACCCTTCCTGACGAGAAGCGGCATGGGACACTGACCCTCACCCAACTCCAAAGGAGAGTCCACAACGACAAGCCACTTCCCAACACCTGTGACTGGTTTAGAAAGGGATCATGTCCTGATTTTTGCCAAAGAGCTAAGAGGCAAGCCAGAGGAGAGGACTTCTGAGGGCATTCGGAAGAAACAAACATGGGAAGAAAGACCTCCCTCTAGGTTTTGTCATGTCTGAGTGTGACACCTGGAACTAGCGGCCATCTGCCACACGTCTGGTGATGAAGTCAACAAAGAGAGTCGACGGAGCCCAAGACACTGCAGAGCACCAGAGCCAGAACCCAGCTGGGCCAGCCTGAGCACAGCCCTACTTCTGCTTTGATGGGGGCTTTCGTGCCTCTGTGTGCAACCCCAAAGAATCCCAATCGACCAACAGAAAGGGTGCCCATTTCTGGGCTCTTCTTAAATTTGGTAACATCTTCCTGGCCTGGAGATGTTGCAAACTTGATCTGAAATCTTTGTCGGACCTGACTCCCACTCCCTTCTCCCCAAACTTGATTTGCTTATCATTACATTTGCGGGATGAGGAGGGACAGAGGAAGGGGGGTTGGAGCCATTCCTCAGCAGCCCTAAAATAAAATAAAGAAATATCAACAAACTTACTTTTCCAAAAGTGCAGGCAGCGCTGAGGTGGCGGGTAGGTTGCCTTTCCCATTGCTTGATTCTGACTGATGGAAAAACAGGAGACAGAGGAATGAGGATCGGCAATGGAAGGAAGGCGCTAAGACTGCCGAGGCTAGATGATGCTGGGACAGGCTCCTGTTCCTCCCTGCCCTGCCCTCGCCCCGTACTTTGCAATCTGCCTCTGAGCCCAGACCGCGGCCCCTTCCTTCAGCTCTCCCCGTCCTACTTTCTTCAGTGCTTTTCCCCTTGTGGTTCATGCAACTTGCACCTTTGCCCTCTTTGGTTTCCTCAAGCTGAGAAAAGAGTCTATATTTTAATGACCGGTCTAGAAAGGAGCAATTGGTTTTTCTGAGCAATCAATTGGGGTTTTTGTTTATTTGTTTGTTTACTGTGGACAGTGGTTGGTATCCTATCAAATGGAGTACGGATGGGTTTCTGAAGCCCTCGCTGCTCTTAGAGATACCATTACACGCACAGTTCTCAGGAGACGCCTGTTCTTAACCGGAACGCAAGCCTTCTGCAATTTCTTCAGGATACATTGCCCCCGACTTCCACATAGTTTTGTGGCAATGGATTCAGTTTCAAAAATGGCTCTCGGCCCTGACTACATATTAGAATCACCAGAGAGAGACTTTTTAAAAAGTATTGATCAACTCCAGAATCTTGGGAAGGGACTTGAACATAGAACGTTTCGAACACTCCTTCAGGGTTTTTTAATATACAGCCTTCATCAAAATGAATACCCACCCGGAAGCCACTTAAAACTTTATAGATCGTATGGAAACTAGGCCTGATGAAACACACTAAGGAGACCTCATCAGTGTGCTTTAGAAAACATTTGGTTGGATTGCTTTGTTTCATTGGGTGATTTGGGGACTTAGGTTGGTTTCATAGATGACTGAAACCTTTGAGGCTAGAAGAAAAAGTAGTAGTAGCTGTTGTTGTTATTATTGAAGAGCTATTACTACCTATTGGCCCAATCGGCCTTGAATCTACTTTACTTATTACACAATCAAATTGTTTCTTTATAGAGCAGTGATAGTCATGGTCAGAAACCACAGGAAAAAGAATTGAAGAGTTTTAAAAAGGAATTACCATTGTTCTACGAAATTAGAATAAATAGCTTATATTTATTTGGACGACATAACTATTATGGAAATATAAAAAGGCATCAAGCAGGAAATAATGAACTCTTATATCCAGAGATAACCATTACTAATAATTTCATATATATTCTTCCAGAATTTTTTTCTCTACACAAAGCAGCACTTTTTCTGTTTAAATGACAAAATGAAATTATGTTGTACACATGGCTTTTAAAGCTGTTTTTATTCTTAATAAATTGTGGGCATTTTCATGTTAAAGCATATTGATTTATAATCTAATTATATAGAGAAACCCATTATAGGGATCCATAATTTAACTTAGTCTCTTATTGAACACTGAGGTTGGCTTCTATTTTGTCATTGTAATAGAACAATGCTACGATCAACTGAGGCAGGATAACACTGGGTTTACAACTCCGGCTCTGGGGTAAAAGTCAGAGACACCTTGGAGGGCTGTGCTTAAGCATGAAGAGAGATGGTTTGTGAGCAACCTTCTCGAACCTTGTTCAGGATCACCCAGTGGTGGCCTGCAGGGAAACGTGGAAGTAGGACTGCAAGTCAGGGACCATCATACTCACCAGGGCGGGTAAGGAGGGGATGGGCGATGAGCTGGGAGGTTGGCCAGGTAGGTTCAGGGCATTAAACTTGGGAACCACGGCTACGCTGACCCTCCGCCGGGGCATGTTCTATGGGAGAGAAGCGGCGATGTGTATGCGAGCAACTGTACTTACGTCTTGGAGCAAACAGTGGCCACACAGTTCAGAAGGTCCTGAAAAATGCCTACTAGTTCCTAATGCTGTAAGGACACTCATGGTGTTCAGGGTAGTGGTGGGGCTGGTGTGCAGTGTGTGACCCAAACTGACACAGAGGATCCAGTCCTGGTAGGTGGCTTCTCAACAGGCGGCTACAGACTCTGGCTAGAAAGAAATACCCACGGCTGTCCACAGCAGGGCTAGGCTCTGGGTCACTTCATGCTCTGAGCAAGAAAGGTGACGTGTCAGAGGTTGAACAAGTGAGGGTGAGAACACCCAGGGATCCAATAACGAATGATTGTTTGCGTGAGCGTGGGAGTCCGTCGGCCTTCTGGAAGCCCTCATAGTCCTTGCGCATGCGTACCTTTCCCAGCGTGAGGGACATGGACCGAGCTGTGCGGGGGACCCCGTCATCTGCAGCGAGAGGGAAAAGAGAAGACAACTCAGGTAAGCGTCCAGGCTGGGCTCCCACGGGGCACGGGGAGGTGGAAACTAAGGCAAGGGTCAAGGGCACCGAGTTTAGAAGTTCAGCCTCCAGGATGATCATCTGCAGGGGCTGGGGTTTTGTTTGTTAAACAGAACCTTTATCGTAACTCCTCTGAGCTCTGACTCATGGGGGCCCCATAGGGCTGAGCAGAATTGCTCCCAGAGAGAAGACTTCATCTTTCTCTCACAAGGCAGCCGTTGGTTTTGAACTAGCCTTGGGCTAGCAAATCCAAAGCATAACCCACCACGCACTCGATGTGTGGAAATACCATGAATGGTGTGTGAAAACTACGTGTTGAAATTTCACTGCATATTGGATTATAAAGGGCTCATGAGGGAGGGGGGAGTGGGGAGGGAGGGGAAAAATGAGGACCTGATGCCAGGGGCTTAAGTGGAGAGGAAACGTTTTGAGAATGATGAGGGCAATGAATGTACAAATGCGCTTTACACAATGGATGTATGTATGGATTGTGACAAGAGTTGTATGAGCCCCTAATAAAATGATTAAAAAACAAAGATTGAGCTTTGGGAACTATACAGGATCACTATGAGTTGAACCATCTTCAAGGTAATTGGCTTGGCTCTTTGGGTGGTGGGGGTGGAGGGGAGGGAGGGGTGGGTTAGAGTACCCAGGAGGAGACCTGAAATAGTGAGGAATGGTCTCCACTATGGTAACTACCACACTTATCTGCGGAGCTTCCATGTCCATGACTCTTGTCTCTGGACCCAAACTCCAAACCCACTGCACATGGAGTCATAGCGACCCTATAGGAGAGGGTGGAACTGGCCCTGTGGTTTCTGAAACTAACTCTTCAGGGGAGTAGAAAGCCTCTTCTCTCCCCAGGAGTGGCTGCTGGTTTGGAACTGCTGACCTTGCAGTTAGCAGCCCAACAAGTAACCACTATACCACCAGGCTCCGTTCATCCCTAGAAGCTCTAGTTGATTCTTGTTTGATAGTTGTTTTAATGCATCTTTTATGTCTCTGATAATTTTGCGTCTGCTTTAAATGTATCCGATGATGTTGTTCTCTGGGGTCCTGAGGGATAGAGTCCTCTTGTTTGGTGTGTCTGATGACGCTCTCTCACAGTAGACTGTTTCCTCGGGTAGCCTACCATGTTGTGCTGGGAACTCATCTTCCGTGAGCATTTACAGGAATCGGTCCAGGGTGGAGGCAAGCCTTCCCGAAGCCACTTAATGTTTGTTTCTGCATGTTCCTAAGGGCACCTCCCTGATGTCCTTCGCTACGCATTGCACCATCGTTTCTATCGTTTGGGATGTGCACTTTTCCTATGAGGAAGGAGAAAGCATTTTTCTCTGTGTGCCTACAGGGCGAAACAAGCTTCCTTATTTGCTTCTCTGTTGGTAAATGACTGGTTTCTTCTTTCTTCTCGTCTAGCTCTCCCTCAAGACACAGTCCTTGAAAAGACAGTCTACTGTGGGGGGGAGTTTCTGCCAGGGGAGGCTGAGGCCTCCTCTCAGATCACTTGTGAGGGCAAACGTCAGCCCCTGCAGCCCGCCACTGGCCCCCAGGGAAGTTGCACATTAGCTCGGTTTCACTTCTCCTTTCCTTTCCTGTGCGGATGAATTTCAATTTCCTTCCTTGTGGATTCAGCTATTCCTTTGAACTAATCTTGGCTCTATTTTATCTAGCATTTCTAAGTATTTGTGGTTGACTTTTTTTTCCCAGTCAGCTAAAACAACAGAAGCAGAAAACAGACTTTCTATATGAAGAGTTGAAACAAATGGATAGAGTACCAGTCTTATAAGTGGGCAAAGGTCATAATCAGATAATTTACAAAATCAAGAATACAACTGTCCAGTCACCATTCGGAGAAGCACAGAAGTGCAAGTTAAAATGATGTATCATTTTGGTCAATTAAAGTCGTAAATATTGTTAACAAGAAAGATTGTGTCGATGGAACAATGGAGCATGATTGTAGCCCATTAAATGGAAATATCAATGGGATTTACTTCCCTGAAAATAGTTTAAGAGCCTTATAAATATGTCTTTCCCTTGAGTGAGCATTCACACTTTGATAAGTCTTTCCTAAGGAAATCATCTGAAAGGCAGACATCAGCACAGTCCAGAACCAGCAATCAAATGAGAGGACTTCAAGTGCTCTCACTTGTCTGGAAATCAGAGGCATTTGCTTTCATCGTGATTTTGGTCACATGCATTCTTATGTGCCAAGATTGCCAAGAGTCACATAAAGGCTTAAAAAGCAGGCCCCCAGACAGATAAACCTCTCAGGACTAATATTGAGAGTAGCGATACCAGGAGAGGAAAGGGAAGGTGGGGGGAAAAAGGAGGAACCGATCAGAATGCTCTACATGTAACCCCCTCCCAAGGGGACGGACAACAGGAAAGTGGGTGAAGGGAGACATTGGTCAGTGTAAGATATGAAAAAATAATACTAATTTATAAATTTCAAGTGTTCATGAGGGAGGGAGGGGAAGGGAGAGAAGAAAAATGAGGAGCTGATACCAAAGGCTCAAGTAGAAAGCAAATGTTTTGAAAATGATAATGGCAACAAATGTACAAAGGTGCTTTGACACAATGGATGGATATATGGGTTGTGATAAGAGTTGTACAAGCCCCCAATAAAATGATTTTTTAAAAAGAGTTGTACAAGCCCCCAATAAAATGATTAAACACCCCCCAAAAAAGCAGGCCCCCATTAGGAAATGGTTATGGGGTATTTTATGAACAAGCACAAAAGGTGAGGGTTGGCCCCTATGCTTCAGCCCAAGTTACGGAATAGCTTGGAAATGTAATTGGAGTGAGAACCAATGTGTGAAAGGCACCTATTCACCACTCAAGACTCGGTGAAGGTTCCTTCCTATTGCAAGAATTACCTTATCCCCCAGACTACATGGGGACCCGGCCACCAGTGCCCCCCAGGAAGTGGCAACACCAATCACACTACCCTCCCCCCGCTCCCCCAGATTGGGAGTTCCTGGGGGCCCGGGGCTCTGTGCCTTTTACCACTAAATTCTAATACCATGCATGGCACAGCAGAGGCATGCGATGCATGCCTGCGGAATGAAGGGATGCGGCACATGCACAATTGCGCTCATTCTATGTTGTTTTTGCTGTCAGGTGCCATCGAGCCGGCTCAGTCTACAGGTAAGAGATTCCCAAGAGACCTTGCCCCTTGCAGGGCTAACGAGTGCAAGAGCTAGAGTGGTTGGGTTTCTGTGGCAGTCATTTCCCAGCTTCTACCGAGTGGTCTGTTAGAGACCCGGCTGGGTATGTGTGGGTCAGGATCCAGAGCAGACAGCCTGGAACATGTGTACATGGCCTTGGGACTCTCGGAAGTGGCCCTGATATTCCCCAGGAAACTTGTGAAACCTCCTGTTTATAAAGGTTTCTCCATCGGTTACACTTTCTGTACTTTCCCTCTTTCTGCTTTTGGTTACACGGATGTTTGCGTTCCATGGGATTCCTGTCACTGACAGGCCTGTTTCTCCTGCTGTCCACCCTCATCAGCCAGACCTCAAAGCTTGGTGGATTTCTCCCAAGGAGACATCCTGCCCAAGGTGCCATCATCCCTCTCCTCTCCAGGAGTTCTGTAAGCACCTCCTCTCACCTGTACTTCACACTTTCTGATCTTCTGGCCCAGTGGTTCTCAACCTTCCTAATGCTGCAACCCTTTCATACAGTTCCTCGTGTTGTGGTGACCCCCAACCATAAAATTATTTTCATTGCTACTTCATCGCTGTCATTTTGCTACTGTTATGAACCAGGTGACTCCTGTGAAACGGTCGTTCCATCCCTCTGAGCGGTCTCCCTTCCTGGATTCCTTTAAGTTGAATCAGGTGACCCATCTCCTGTGCTCCTGTAGCAATTTGTAAAGAACTGTGAAAAATTGAAGTGTTTTACCCAACAGCCGCACGGCCATCAGGTCAATTCAGACTTACGCTACTGATCTCAGCAACGGCTCCATTACCCAGGCTCTTCCTCCATCCCTACTTCCTAGCCTCCCCTCTCAACTGGGCTGTGGCAACAGCATCCTCTGGTTTCGCCTCAGTAATGTCATTCCACACTGCAGTCAGACAGACTCTCCTTAACTACCTATGTGGTCATTTGCTTCCAAGATTGAAATCTTGGATCAGATCCCTAATGCCTTCCAAGATAAATTCCAAATCCTTGATCAGGTATTGCACAGAAAAGGGAACCCAGAGCACAAGGAAGTCTCACTCTCCCAGGGCCTCCTTGAGCGCTGCCGGGCTCTGTGTTAGTGGTTGGGACTTGAGGTCAACAGTGCCCTGAGTTAGGAGATCACTTGTTTTCTGGGTCTAGTCCCCAGGGTCACCAGAGCGACTCCAGTTGGCTAGGTTTGGACAGGATCAGGGAGCCTGGCTGCACCTGATAGAGGTCCTGGGCCGGCCATGGTGGGGAGGAGCCTGGCCTCCCGCCATCATAGTCCTTCACCTCAGGGTCAAGGTAAGGCTGGAGCCCAGCTCCTTACCGGAGGAGCCACAGCTGCGGCTTGAGTTCTGATTGGCAAGTTTTTTGAACTCCATGAGCTCGGCGCGGTCCTTCTCGTACGTCCTCTTCAGGTTCTCCACGTACTGCATCATCACTTCGGTGGCTTTGGACAGGCGCTTTTCCTGCAGGGAGGAGAGAGCGGTGCACAGCACAGCTGTCAACGGCCCCTATGGGGCCTTGCTTGCTCTGCGCGAGGCTCTGAGTGGGAATAATGGAAAGAGCACAAGGACTCATCGGACAGGACCCTGTCACTAAGAGTTCTGTCTTCACAACATGAGTGAAAAGTGAACGCAGGGCCCTGTGGGCAAGGAGAACAAGAGAACAGCACAACCCAAAGCCACAGCCGAGCGGGGCACAGGCTCTCGTGTGCTACTGGAGTTGAACACAGGGCGGCGGCACAGAGCGGGAGTGAAGGGCACTCGGGCTTTGGGCAGCATCTGGCCGTGTAGCTATCTGCAACAGGGATGATGGACACCCAGGACAGGAGCTCCAAGAACACAGGTTCTGATCCAGGACAGTCCTGGACTTTGTAGGAGAGTGAAGACTTATTCTCCAAATTGGAATCTTTTGGAAAGTAAAAAGAGATGCTATTAAAAATTATGCTTAACAAAACCCATCTGTAGGCAACTGGACATCCCCTTATGGAAGGGTTGCGGGGAGGAGATGAGCCAGTCAGGGTGTAGGGTAGCAACGATGAAACACATAACTTTCCTCTAGTTCTTAAGTGCTTCCCCCCTCCCACCCTCACTATCATGATTCCAGTTTACCTTACAAATCTGGCTAGACCAGACAATGTACACTGGTACAGATAGGAACTGGAAACAGGGAATCCAGCACAGATAAACCTCTCAGGGCCAAAAATAAGAGTAACAATACCAGGAGGATAAGGGGAAGGTGGGTGAGAAAGGGGAAACTGATCACAATGATGTATATATAACCCCCTCCCTGGGAGACAGACTGCAGAAAAGTGGGTAAAGGGAGCCATCGGACAGTGTAAGACATGAAAAAAAAATTTCTAAATTATCAAGGGTTCATGAGAGAGGGAGGGTGGGGGAGAAAAGGGGGGAAATGAGGAGCTGATACCAAGGGCTCAAGTAGAAAGCAAATGTTTTGAGAATGATGATGGCAACAAATGTACAAATGTGCTTGACACAATGGAGGTATGTATGGATTGTGATAAGAGTTGTATGAGCCCCCAATAAGATGATTTTAAAAATAAAAGCAAAAGAAAAAAAGCATTTCTCAATGCAAAAAAAAAAAAAAAAAAGCAGGCCCTTTTTGGTCACACACTATTACACAACCTTTTCAGAACCTCTAAATAGAAAGCTTTGATTAACAGTCTGACCTGGTGGAACAAACTCCAAATGCACTATCCCCTCACATAAAAAAATCAAACGAGCTCTGTCTTGATTAACTAGAATTATCCAGGCAAGTCAGAGCAGTACAGGGCACCTGATTTAGGTAGGAAGTGCTAAGCAGTTCATTGGGCTTATTCAGGAAGAGAAAGACGAGTTGGAAAGCATGTGGAGTGAGAGGCGTCCGGCACTGTCCGAGAGTCCACGTGTGGGGCAGAGAGGGGTCAGCGGTGGGAACTGGACCACAGGGGATGAAACAGGCAGGGCGATCAGCAAGGAAAGTGAAGAGCGCGGTGTGTGAACCTGTGTGGAAGTCAGAGGAAGGACGGAGCTGAAAGGCCCGAGCCGAGAGGCACTCCGGCTGAGGAAGCCATTGGAGAACGCTGACTGGAGGGCATGACCCAGGGAAGAAGGGACACATCTGGGAGGGACCTACAAAATGAGGAAGGTGTTGCTTTGCTTCTGTTCCCTGGAATCCCTGAGAGGAACATGCTCCGTGGCCCTTCCCTGGAAGAGGGCCCTGCAGCTGTGGGCTGAGACCAGCCACTTCCCTAGCACCCTCCTGGTGTGGTGACTGCCAGCGGGTGGGACCTCCTGAGGGCTACTGCTGAGTCTGGTGCCCTTTCCCCAGAAAAGCACAGGGAGGAGGCAGTGCAGCCATCCGTCCTCCTACCATTGGGTGAGAACCGCCCACACTCCTTCCCAGGGACACTCAGCTCCTGCAGCCATTGTAGTAGGACACACGTCCACGGTGACAGCAGCAGGGCAGCAACCCTGGAGGGCAGAGTCTATAACAATCCTCCTTTTCCCGTGGAAGAAGCTACAGCTCAGAGTCTCAGTAACTGGCCCAAGGTTGCACAGGAAGGCGGATGGAGGAAGGATGAGAAGTCAGGAGATGCTGGAGCAGGGCGTGCTCTGATGCCGAGAGAGGGGTCAGACCTCCACTGGAAGCCCATCCCTCCCGTTGACTAAGGACTTACCCTACTGAGACTCAGTGTACTCCCTGGGGGAAGGATATTTATTTCAGAGAGTTTCTGGGAGGATGAAATAAAGAAGAAATACGTTTTCCCTAAATCATGTTTTACCAAATACTAGTCCCATGGGAGATAAAAATGTATCCTCAAAAAAATACATTGGAGAAATACATAGGGAAGTTAAACACGCCTTTTTACTATATATAGGACTTCTTTGATGAAACAGGTGTGTATTATAAATCTCCAACAAAGGAAGACGGTACACAGCGACTCCCGAACTTATGTGTCCACAGAAAGCTTTTTCCAAAACATCATCTTGAGTTTAGTTGTGTGTCCCCCAAATACTCGGAACAGTGCCACAAGAACCTCCCAGCCGCAGGGGACACCAAAGCCAAGTGTAGTAACAAAGTTCACAAAGACACTGTTGTGAAACACCTTAACTCGGAGAGTCGTGACGGAGGTCTACAAAGCTCTGCGGCAGCCATCTAGGGGCGGCTCTTGGCCTCTCCTTGTCTGGAGGAGAGTAGACTGACTACCGTCCAGAGGCACAAAAGCAATGCCTCCTGTGGCCTGGGGGAGCCACGCACATGCCAGTCCCACAGCGCTGAGACCTGAATCAGACGGTGCCAGGCCACCACGACCAACTGCTCTGAAAAGGACCTTAGACGGTCCTGGAGAGAGTGGGGGGAAATGTAGAGCAGGCTCAAGCTCACAGAAGCGCCTGGGCTTACTGGTCCCATAGAGATGGGTGGAACCCCCGGACTAGGGTCCCTATCCTCCAACCCTGACACCGAACCCACCCCGTGCCGGCACAGACAACAGTCACAAGGAAACGAGCAGCATGAAGCCCGGGTCAGCGATCAGGAGGTTGGGCAGGAAGAGGAGTGGAAACAGGAAAGCTAGGAGGCGGTGGGTAAGTAAGGGTCCGTTGAGAGGGCGGCAGTGAGGAGTGAAATCACAATGTGTCTCAGCTGTGGGAGTGAGACCATGATCTGCTCTGTAAGCCTTCACCTAATTCACTCATAAAAAGTTTTAAACGAATTTTTTAACCCCCATAATGTACACAGGTGCCTGGTACAGAGGAAGCCGTGGACAGGCAGCACCAGTAGTTGTGGCTGGTCATGATATTACCGGGTCACTGCAGGCGGAACCAAGCCAGGCAGCAAGGCTGGGAGCTGGTGCGGCTCACCTGGCGGACAGCCCCCACCATCTCAGCTCGGCTGGAGAGACGGGCAGCCAGGCGGTGCAGGACAGCGAGGTCCTCCACGAGCTTCTGACAGGTCTCCCGGTGCTCACAGTGTTGCCAGCGTGAAGCTGAAGACTGAGAAGAGAGGGGCCTGGCATGGGGTCTGCTGTTCCCAGATTGGGCACACAGCCCTGGGCCCCATCCCGCCTACGAGGAGTGCCCCGGGCAGAGCCTGGGCGAAAGTTCCTTCTGGGGGTTGGAGAAGCCCAGTGTGGACACACTATACCTGGCTGGCTTTCCTAGTCCCTAAGGGACTCCCACTGCCACCTCGGGTCCCTCTCCTTCCTGAGACGCTCCCAAGGGCTCAGAGGCCACAGCCTGGTGTAGTCAGGCCTCCGCGATCTCTTCCTCAGCTTCTCCCGGCTCTCTAGGTGGCCTCTGTCCAGCTTACCTCAGAGGAGTCAGGCAGGTGGCTGGGGGAAATAAGACGTCCAGCAGGGCCCTCGGAGACAGGCCCTTCTCCAAATATCCCTGCTCAGGCTCCGTCATTACCGTAATGGAAGCTTTGAAGTTTTCCAGTTCCTTCTCCGTGTTCTCCTCTGTCAGATTCCGTTCCCTTTCGGCCTGGTTAATTCTGGATTCCAGCGTGTAGCTGTCATTTCTAAAGGCCAAGGACAGTTGCACAAACACGTTCTGGTGGGAACAAGAGCAGGGGAGAGATGCTAGGAGGAGTCATCGCAGAGAACAAGGCCACAGGTGTGTTTCTCGTGTGGACATTGTACCAGTCAGCACAGAAGACAGGAAACTAGAAAGCAACCTGCAGTCTTTGCAAGGGCCTGGCTGTGCATGAGAGGCCAAGTGAGTTTTACTGAAAAATTAGGGAATGACACACTGCTTTTCCCTAAAGTTTAAAAAAAAAATAACATCCTGTATTTGGGTTTAGACAAACTCAGGCCAGGGCAGCGGGCTGTGTAAGCAGTTTGGATTTATGCTGGGATTTACTGCATGGAAGTTTTAGAGGTTTCACACGACATTGCTGTATTTAAAGAAAACCCATTTGAGCTTTAAGCCATGTTGACTTAAAGTAAACTTTGACCAGCTTCCAGTTTGAGCATTCCACATCCTACTTCAATAGCAGCTTTAATAGCTGCTGGGAGATTACAGAAGGTCAGGTAAGATCCTGTAAAGAGAAGTTTCTGGAATAAATACTCCATGCCAAAAATGCAGTCTGCTTGAATGAACTTTTAAAAGGTAGAATTGAGCAGACATGGAATTCCTAGAATAGGAAATTACCAGGGAGGAAAATTTGACAGATGGACACCCCATAGGAAGCAACGGCCTTCATCTCCCAGCCTTCACCTACCCTGCCCACATCAAGTGGGAGCAGATTGATACATGAGATGAACCAAGCCTGCCTGAGCTGCTGAAGTTCATGTGACATGACCCACAGCAAGCAGACATCTCCGGTAGAGAACGGAAGGGCCAGGACCCACCCAATGACAAGGGTGACAGCTATTTTGAGAACGACTCCTTATTGAGCATGTACCATGTTAGTTCAATTAGTCCCCACAATTCCTTTCTGGGTCAGGAAGCTTCTTTAGTGCTGCCATGTCAGAGCCAGCACGAGTGCCTGCCTTTAACCAGCACATCGCCTTTCTCAGCATCCAGGAGTTTAGGGAGGCTTGCTCTCTGTCGGTTCTCTAGTAAGGCCTCCCTCACGTTCTCTGAGCTTTGGCTTCATGTGGCTTGCCATCTCTCTTCCCCCATCTCTACTTCTTTCACTGGCTTATTTGTTCTCCTTTTTACCCCAAGAGAGAGCTCTGGGGGCGTAAGTCAGCAGTTCGAAACCACCAGCCGCTCTCAGGAAAGAGGAGGCTTTCTATTCCCACCCAGATTTACAGCCTCGGAAACCCGCTCTGGCTCCAGTCACTGTGAGTCGGGACCAACTTGATGACAGTAAGTTTGGAGTCTGATGACTCAAGAAATTGGCTCAAAGCACACCCTACACTAATCCTAACAAAGACACCTGACTCCCGAAGGAGATTAGAGCCTCTGGGATAGAGGTTAGGATGGACAACACATTTTAGGGGATACCATTCCATCTGAAACAGTCCACCTTTGACCCTCTAAAATTCGTGTCCTTCCCACATGTAAAACACATTCACCCCCAAAATGTATCATCTCAAGAGTCCTATATCAACTCCAAGTCCCAAATCTCATCTTCTGAGTTATCTAAAATCCAATATGGGCGAGTCTTTTGGCATATTCCATCCTGGAGCAAAATCTGTGAACCTGTGAAATCTAGGGTCCCGGCTATCTCTTTCCAAAATACACTAGCGAAACAAGCAGGAGGTCGATAAATGGAGAATCAGAGAGAAAAAGAGGGAGAACAGGCACAACACGTGTCTTTAACTCAATAGAACAAATATAATTTGCTCCCAGGTTTTGAAAATAATCACTCCTTTTCCTAAGCTCATTTGGGCAATGGCTCTGCCATCCAGACTCTGGATACTGGCTACATCCTCTAGACTTTGGGTGGAGTTCCCTCAACCCTGGGCTGCAGCTCTGCCTTCTAAGTCCTGAGGGATAGTAGCTCTACTCCCTCAACTTTAGGGCACCCTAGTCTACTTGAGTGGCCATCCCACCACCCCAGCCCTCGCTGGCCTGATTCTCCTGCCCCTTAGGCACGACAACTTTGCATTCTTAGCTTTTGGTTGGTGGCTCTATTCCCCTGAATGGCAGTGCTGTCTTCTAGAACCAAGTTGGCAAAGATGTGACTCTTGGAAACTTAGAAGAGTGAACTTAGATGGCCGTGAACCCATCCTTTGAAATCCAGGAGACCATGACACCACTCTGAAGTTGAGAAAACACCTTCCAATCACTCAGCTGATCTTCAACCGGCTCAAGGTCCCTTTCTTTTCTTGGAGGACAATAGGTATAGCTCCTTTGGCCCAGTTCTTGCCTCTAGAAGTCCAAGAGGCACACTGTGCCCATTCTTCCCTCTTGTTATTTCTCTGTCCCCATGGATTGAAGCAGATGGTCTTCTGCTGTGATAGTTGTTTAGCTCCACTGGTCATAGGCTTAACTCTTTAACAAAAGATGTGCAGTCACATCCTTGGTGAATATCCTAGGACACAGGTCCTTAGTTTATACAATAGAATTTTCATTTTGAACAGTTCGCTTTTTAAAGTCCATGTCTTGGCTCTGTAAGTGGCAAGGAGAAACCACCCAGCCCCTTTCATTAATAGCTTGCTTAGAAATCTCATCAGTCAGATACAAAAGTTCATCATTACAAGTACTATATTTTACCAAACATTTTAACATAACCCAGACAAGTTTTTTGCCACTGCATAAAAAGCATCTTTAATGTCCACATTTCCAACAAGGTTCCATTGCGGGTACCATACGTATTTTCTAAGATGTCAGGCACTTTTGTATAGCTCTTCTGACTTCCTTCTGAGCCCTCCCCTCATTACCTTTGACATTCATCTTTCTACCAGTAGTCTCATCAAGGGAATCTAGGCTGTTGCTATTGTTACGAGGTGTCATCGAGTCAGCTGAGTCAAAGCAACTCTATGTACAATGGAAGGCAACCCCGCCTGGTCCTACCCCATTCTTGCAGCTGTTACACTTGAGCCCATTGTTGCAGGCCCTGTGTCGACCCATCTTACAGAGAGTCTTCTTTTTGGCTGGCTCGCTGCTTTACCAAGGATGATGTCCACCTTTAGGGACTGGTCTCTCCTAATAACATGCCCAAAGTACATGAGAGGAAGTCTCACCATCTGCATTCTAAGGAGAGCATTCTGGGGTTCTTCTGGCAGCCCACGGTATGTTCACTATTCTTTGCCAGCACCATTGTACAAAGGTCTCAATTCTCTGCTCTCCCTAGTCATTGTCCAGTTGTCACATATGAGGTGCACCTTAATCCTCAAAGTGACAGCTTTGCTATTAAACACTTCAAGGGAGGTCTTGTGTAGTAGATGTACCCAGTGCTATACCTCAGTTGATTTCTTGACTGCTGTTTTCATAAGCATTGATTATGGATCCAAGTAAAATAAAATTCTTGATAACGTCAGCCTTTTCTTCATTTATCATGATGCTGTGTATTGGCCCAGTTGTGAGGATTTTGTTTTTGTTATGTTGAAATGTAATGATCATCTGTGCTTCAAGTTCTCTTGGCTTTTAGCAACAAGTTGTGCCATCTGCATATCAGTTAGTGAACCTTCTCCCCATCCTGATGCCAAGTTCTTCATCTCGTCCAACGTTGATACACATTGAATAAGCCTGGTGAAAGAATACAACCCCGAGACACACCTTGCCTTACGGACAGATTCTACAAGAACACAGGGTTCTGGATTCCCATTCTTTGCCATGCTATCCATAGCTTGTTATGGCCCCTGCAGTCGAATTCCTTTACATGGTCAAGAAAACAAAAGTAAACATATTTCCGATATTCCCTGCTTTCAGTCAAGATCCATCTAATGCCGGCAATGCTATTTCTTGTCCCATGTCGTCTTCTAGATGTAGCTTGAATTTCTGTCAGCTCTCTGTCAATGTACGGCTGCATCTGTTTTTTAGTTATCTTCAGAAAAACCCAATTTGCATGTGATAGACTATTGGTTGATAATTTCTGCATTCTGTTAAGTCCCCTCTCTCTGGAATAAGCATAAATATAGATCTCTTCGAGTCTGCTGGCCAGGGAGCTGTCTTCCAAATTTCTTGGCATTGACTCATGAGTGCTTCCAGGGCTGCATCAGTTGGCTGCGACACTTCTATGGGTGTTCCATCAATTCCTGGAGTCTTGTTTTCAGCTAATGCCTTCAGGACAGCTTGGAGCCCTGGTGGCGTAATGATTGCGTTGGGTTAACCAAGCGATCAGCAGTTTGAAACCACCAGCTGCTTTATAAGAGAAAGAGGGGGCTTTCTACTCCTGTGAAGAGTTACAGTCTCAAAAACCAGCGCAGTTCCACCCTGCTCTATAGGGTCATCGTGAGACAGCATTGACTCAATCGCAGTGAGTTTTTCAGTACAGCTTGGAATTCTTTCTTCAGTACCATCGATTCTTGATTATAATGAAAAGATTGAAGATTCCTCATGAAAGGATTGATGATTGACCAGTTCTTTGGGGTCTGTGTATTCCATCGATCTTCTTTTGACCTTTCCTGCATCGTTCAATATTTTGACAAAAGACTCCTTCAATATTTCAAGTTGAGGTTGCATTATTGTGTTCTACAGGCCTTTCAGCTTGAGATGTGTAGAGTATGTTCTTTTTGGGCTTTCTAACACCAAGTCTTTGAACATTTCATTATAATATTATTTATTTATTTATTTTTACTTGTTTTATTAGGGACTCATACAACTCTTATCACAATACATACATACATCAATTGTGTAAAGCACATTTGTAGATTCATTTCCCTCATCATTCTCAAAACATTT